AAAAAAAAAAAAAAACAGAACATCCATTCACAAAACTAATTGCATAAGTAATATACCAAACATAAAAAGATGTACAATAACTGTACATATCCCTAAGACGTACATATATTGTACATATACTGATCATAATTTAATTTGTATAATGAAAAAATCGAACTAAATAGAACTTACGGATTACTTTAAAAAAAATTGTTTCTCAAGTTTTACATCGTATTTTCAAATAGAAAATAGAGCATACAGATTACTTGAAATCTAATGTTGACTGTTGTGGGTCGTTCCACATTACTCTGTTGGGGGTCGTTCCACATTAGTCTTTTATGTTGTGTTGTTTTTTAGTATATTTTTTAGCGTTGCTAGTTGGGTTCTAGGCGGTCTTATGACATTTCCTCCCATTTTTTAGCTGTTGACTGTTGTAATTCAGCTAGGGACTATGCGCTTTGCACATTTGTGCGGGTTTTATTTATAATATTCCTATTGTTTCGTAAAAAAAAAATGTTACAATTTTTTGTGCTTGGAACTCACTACAAAATAATGTTATATTCCAACTGAAAATCCTATGGTAACATATTCCAATGGAAATTCCAACGAATATTCCAATGGAATAGCTTCCGTTGGAATAGTTCCAACAGAAATTCCAATGAAAATATTCTGTTGGAATGTGTTTTTCATTGGAATTTTAAATGGAATTTGATGATTCCAACGGCTATATTTCCAACGGCTTTTTACCGTAGAAATTTCCGTTGGAATATGCAAATTCCGTTGGAATTTTTTTTTCCACCCCCGTTGGAAAATCCACCGTTGGAATAGTCAAAATCCAACGGAAATTCCAATAGAAAACTCATTCCAACGGAATATTTTCGTTGGAATTTCCGTTGGAATCCATTGAAAAATTCCAATGGAAATAATAGTATTGAAATATCCGTTAGAATTGTTGTTGGAATAATTCTTTTGAAATAGATTTCCGTTGGAATTTCATTATTTCTTGTAGTGACTTATATGTATTAAATTATACTGTTTGAAAACCCCAATTGTCAATTTTTTGTGGTTTGAATATTCTGTGTTGATTTAGATTTCTATAAACTTTTAAAATTACAAAACAATTAACCAACTTAAATTTTATATATATATATATATATATATATATATATATATATATTTTAAGATTTTAAAATTTATTCATTTACTTTTATATTATATATCAAAATATTTAGAAGCATTTCAAAACTTTAAGTAAAAACTTATGTTTTTATTTTGGCTTAGTTGCACATAAAATTCTTATCTTTTGTGTAATTGCAAATAAAAGTCAACATTTGTTATCTTTGCAAATAAATACCAAACATTTATTATGCGTTGCAAATTTGTTGCAAAACTATTTTCCGGCCAATCTTGCTGATGTGTCCTATCAAAATACTAAACTCGCCTAAAAATCACTCGAAAATCGCTCACTCTGACCAATTTATCAGAATTTGTGGGTGAGCTCGTAAATGTATTCAAAATATTTGGTATGAACTCGATTTTTGGGAGTGAAGAATCGCGCTATGGAGAAGAGAATGATCGCTGCAAATATTTTTTTTTTTTTTTCAATTGGAAGAGAAGAACTCGATTTTTATGATGATTATGATTATGAAGCAAAAAAAAAACATGGTGGTAAAATCCTAATTTTTCAATTGGCACTAAAATCTAATTTTGGTTAATTTGTTGGTATATGATGTGACAAAAACATGGTGAGAAGTTTCAAAGATTGATACCACACAAGCCTCATAATTGTCACGTAAGATTTCTGATTGGACATTTCTGATTGGACACGTCAAGATAGATTGGCCGGAAAATTTGAGACAAATTTGCAACACATAATACAAATTTTATATTTATTTGTAAAGATAAAAAAAGTTGAGTTTTATTTGAAATAAATATATTCCCCTGCCCACGGTGGGCAGTGCCCACTAGTTTGTTTTATATGAAAAACGTATACGTTTTTCATATAAAACAAACTAGTGGGCACTGCCCACCGTGGGCAGATGAGCGGGCCTGTTATTTGAAATACTAAATATGGTATTTTATGTGCAATCAAGCCTTTTATTTTTTTGGAACTTTTTCTAATTTGCATCACCAATAGTTTTCATTACATTATCCTTTGATAATCAACACCAAAAGTCATTCATATTCCCAATTCTAAGCCAACAAGACTACTATATCATGGTTGATCAGTTTTCATGTCTAGCTACTTATATACACAGTTTTCCAGAGAAAAGAGAGTGCAACCGATTCACGACTCTCTCACACAGAGCTCTGCATATTTTCCACTAATGGCGACGATTTTTTTGGTTTACGTCAAGGGTTTGACGGAGGGAGTTGCGAGTGGTGTTGGGGTGGCCATACGCGATAGGGACGGTGGTTTGCTGTTTGAGGTGAGCAAAGTTTGCAGGCAGGAAGATTGGCAAGCGAGTCCGGAGCTTGTCGATTTCAAAGCTCTGATTGAAGGGCTCGACGCGGCCGCGGGCCTCGATTTGAAGAGGGTTTCAATTGTTACTGACAACCCTTTGCTCTATCAATTCGTGAGTAAAATAAACGCTACTTGTTACGAGTTTTCTTCAGTTTCTGTGTAAGGCTGTTATGCGGGTTGTTGAATTTGAGTAGTCTTGATGAAGGTCATGATTTAGAAGCTTATTTTTTCATATGTTATGGTTTGAACCTGAGGTTTAATTATGGAGTACTCATATATGGACTAGATTTTGCATTTTGTACCCGTTGTATGTTAACTTCTCATTTTTCTGTATTATTAGGACAATCGAAGTAATGAAGCCGTATAATCGTGAATACTTAGATACTTTCGAGGCCCTTTATAAGCAGTTGATTAATATAGGTAGTTGTTCAGATTGGGAGATGGATCAATGCGTTTCAGAAGATTAGCAAAGGCTTAGTTTTCATTCACGAATGCTATTCCACGACGATGCTTTTCCCATCTTTCTGCAGCTTGATTGTTTATGTTATTGACATGATTTTTATTTTATTTTTTCTCTAAATGCAGATCATGGGGGAAAAATCACTAGCCATGGAAAAAGTCGACTCATTATATGACCGGATAAATTCTCTCACGAGAAAATTCTCTCATATCCATATATCTCTCGTGTCCTCTGTGCACATGACATTTGTTGTTGAACTTGCCAGAAATGCTGTTGTTAGCAAGGTCAATCATGTTGCTGGAACTAGCAATGCCGATAATCCCACCGAGACATGTTCTATTTGTTTCGAGAGTACATCCACGGATCAAATGTTCGAAATTACAGGCTGTCTGCATAGGTACTGTTTTTCGTGCATGTCAAGACATACTCAGTCTAAGTTGAGTCAAGGATCCTTACCTAAATGCCCTTTCGAGAACTGCAAGACCCGACTGATTCTTTCTAGCTGCAAAAAGTTCTTGACTCCTGAATTATTCGACATACTAAGCCAACGCGTGAAGGAAGCTTCTATTCCAACAGCAGAGAAGATATATTGTCCATATCCTAAATGTTCAGCGTTGTTATCGAGGACTCAGCTTCAAGATTCAACGGGTAGTCTGGGCAGGAAGTGCCCAGAATGCAGTGGCATTTTCTGCATCGACTGTAAAGTACCCTGGCATAGGAATATGAATTGTGCCGATTTCAAAAAACAGAATCCCTACCAAAGTAAGGCGGACAAAAAACTGAAGGCTTTGGCTACTCAGAATCTTTGGCGTCAGTGTCCTAAATGCTGCCATATGATTTCGCTTGCTAAAGGATGCTACCACATTTACTGCAGGTACACTCTTACTTTGTTGAAGCTTTGAAGATTGAACAAAGCACGATTTCCACAAACTTCAATTTGTTAGTTGTGTGTTGGTAAAATATTCTAATTTTCCTTGATAAAGATGGCTAGGTTTATTAGCCGTTACACCCGTTACCCCAATGGCTAGTGCTGCAATCGAACCGAACGAGCCGAGCTTGGGTGTTTCGAACTCGTGTTTGTTTACGTTTGAACAGTGTTCGTGTTCGTTCGTTTATTTTTCAAGCAAAAAATTCATGTTCGAGCTCGTTCGTTTAATTGTTCGTCAAAGTTTGAGTTCGTTTGTGTTCGAATAATTTATGACATAAACTATTTAAATATGTTTGATTAACTCAAAATTTGTTCGTTCGAACTCGAAAATAATACAAATAAAAGTAAAAATATATTCATATTTCAGATATTTTATTAAACAGATTATGTAAACATAAAAAATAAAATAAAATTATATTAAATTAATGTTCGCGAACGTTATCAAACGTTCGTAAACAAGCTCGTGTTCATTCGATTATAAAACGAGCCTAATTTTTGTTCGTACTCTGCTCGATTAACAAACGAACGAGCTTTTGTTAGCGAACGCTCGGTTTGTTACAACCCTAACGATGGCCCCAATCATTGGCCTTTGGTTGTAGTGACCCTTCGTTGTTTTTGACAACTAAGATTATATATACATAAATGAAGTTGATAAATTATGTTATGTATTTCTTCATTTTCTATGCTTCCCCATACAAAAGGTTATATTTTCTCTTATCACGATGATAAAAATTAGATTTGCTTTAGTTTGATTCGAAACAAACAGAGTGAAATAGATTAAGGATTAATATCGTAGACTCCACTTCACTCTCCTGAGTTTTGGTGTATGGCCACATGGGTATGAAATTCAAGCATGTGAACATAATCTGATGTCGATACAATCGTAAATATTCGCTATCAAAAATACATTTTTTGTTTCATAAACATGATTTAATCCCCTGGTTCTATCCTAGAAGAACTAATTCATATATGTGACTATTCTATCCTTTTGGGAGAAGGCGCGAAATTTCCACCCGTATACATCATATACATAACTCTTTAACGAATGATGTTTTGTCGAAAATGACTCAGATGTGGACACCAGTTTTGCTATACATGTGGGGCAGCATGGAAGCAGAAGAAAGCGACCTGCAAGTGTCCGGTTTGGGATCACCGGAATATCGAGAAAGCTAAGCAAACTAGACCACCCATCAACAGAAGATTACTAAAAAATGGTCATGATACTTGTAATATCTTATGATGTTTTTTCTGCAAATTGAATGTCTTTGGTATATAGTGGGATTTTAGCCGTCGATCTACACACACCCACATGGGTTTTGTGTGTGTGAGTGTGGAATCCAACGGCTAGAATTTCTGTGGGGATAATAGAGTAGAATTTGCCAGCGTATATTTTTTATTTCATTTGGTAAAAGGGATTTTATTTTATTAATTTCAAATTTTGAATGATATTTTAGGGAAATGTTAAGGTCCCGTTAGGGATTCATTCCGTCGGGTTTGTAACCGTTAGATCATCATATAACCGTCATAGATAGTTGATTTAACGGTTACAACCCCGACGAAATAGTTCCGTAACGAGTCCGTAGCATCTTCCGTAATTTCAATCCAAAAAAAAAAAAAAAATTTAAAGATATGCTGATTTTAGTAAAATCCTAAGAAATCTTGGTGAGATTTGGTGGAGAGATTTACCAATATTTAATTTGTGTATGAAATTTAAAAAAAGTTCTAACAAAGCACGATTTAAATAAGTTGAATAATTCATGACTTTTTTAAAATTTCAATTGAGTATCTCAATACTTTTTAAAAGGTTTAAAAGGCTAAATTATAAAAGTTTTAAATAAGTACACACAAGTCTAATAATAATTAATGATTGTTATAATGTTAGATTTTTTGGAATTTTAAATGAATACACTCCTCAAAATTTGTAACACGAATAAGCACACAGGTAGATGGAAAAAAANNNAAAAAAAAAAAAAAAAAAAAAATTGATCGGACAAGTTTATTTTTTTTATTTCAAAAAAATAAAAATAAAAATAAAGAATAAAAGTTAAATATATGTATATTTATTCATTAATTTAGGAATTTAAGTTTTATATTTGAATTATCATATATATTTAAAAAAATATCATTTAATTAAATACTAACACAATCGTTTTAACTGCTGCTTGATAACAGCAAAGCTTGGTCATATTATGGATGGTAAAATATTTTTTACCCTAACTAAAAATACATTAATTTCGGGACTTTGAACATCCAACCGAGGTAGTACAAAATTACCTCGGTACCCCTACTACTCCACGTGTCGCATCCACGAGAAGCCCAACCGTCGCACAAATGCGTTGTATATTTCTATCTACATCACTGCCTGCCACCGTTTGCCGAATCTTTTTTCTTAAAGAAAAGGTTGACGGCCGTGAAAGTTCCTTCTACGACGTCGCTTCACTTCACATTCGCGCCAAAATCCAGGGTTCTCCGATGGCTGACGGCGACTCCGAACTCGCATTCAATCTCCAGGTTGAGGAAGCCCTCACCGCCTCAATTCTCGAGGGCGGCGCCCTTCCCTCCCCGGACGCAGCGTCTGTCTCATACGACGCCGTTTTCGGCCCAGCCATGTCAGGCCTCCTCCAGGATGACCACCTCTACGCCTACGAAGAGGAGCTCCTCGGCCAGTACGAGGCTGAGGCGGCGGTGAAGCGCCTCCGGGTCGATCTCAGCCGTCAGATCCACGATCGCGCCCTGGCCTGCGAGATCGCGAGTGCGCCGGAGGCGGAGTGGCGGAAGACCGGGGATCATCTGAACCGGCCGTATCGCGAGGGCTCGTCGTCATCCGGTAATGGTCCAGGTTTGAATTTTAGGGTTTATGTAAAGGGTTTGTTGGGGAGGGGTTGTGTAGAGGGTTTGTCGAGGGAAATGGTGGGCGGTGTTGGGGTTGCCATATGCGACGCCGGTGACAATTTGGTGTTCGAGTTGAGTAAGGGTGTTGGCGGGTCTGAGAGGCCAGTGAATCAAGAGTTTGTTGAGTTTAAAGCTCTGAGTGAAGGGCTTGATGTTGCCGTGTTGCTCGATTTGAAGAGGGTTTGTGTTGTTACAGACAGCCGTGTGCTCTATCAATACGTAAGTGACAAGCACTGCACAAAGATCCAATCTTTATCTGATTATTGTTTTTTTTTTTTTAATTTAATTCCTTGTTCATCTTGTGAGATACTTTTCGTTTGATGAGCTAATGATAGATTATAAATACAAACTGATAGGGTCAAGGTTTTATGCATGAATGTTGTTGAAATAGGATTGATTCCATGTTTGTCTGCATATCCACAAAGATGATATGAATCTGAATCTGAATTCACCAAAGCTTGGATTTGCATGTGGTTGACACATTTTCTCTGAATGCAGATCACTGGGAAAAGTAATCAGGTGGCAGCAAATGTCACCACATTCAGTCAGCAAATAGATATTCTCCTTCGAAAATTTACTTATATTAGTGCATTATTTGTGGCCAACAGAAGCATTAAGTTTGCTTTTGAACTTGCACGGAATGCAATTGAGTGCCAGGTCAATCTTTCAGCAGGAAGTAGCAGCAGTGTAGAGAACCCGATTGAGAGTTGTGCTATCTGTTTCGAATACACATCCGCAAACCGAATGTTCACGATTCCAGATTGTCTCCATAGGTACTGTTTTACATGCATGTCGAAGCACGTGCAATTTAAGTTGCTTGAAGGCTCCCTACCTAAATGCCCTTTCGAGAAATGCAAATCAGTACTAAAACTCGATGGCTGCAAAAGATTCCTAACTCAAGAATTATTTGATGTGTTGAGCCAACGCGTGAAGGAATCTTCTATTTCTCCGGCCGATAAGGTTTATTGTCCCTACCCTAAGTGTTCGGCATTGTTTTCAAAAACCGAGCTTCGAGGATCACTACTCGGGGCCACAGAGTGCCCCAAATGCAGTGGCTTTTTTTGCATCAAATGTAAAGTCCCCTGGCATGAAAACATGAGTTGCTTTGATTTCAAAAGACTAAACCCCTACCCAGGTAAGGAGGATAAGAAACTGAAGGGTTTGGCTAATCAGAAAAAGTGGCGTCAGTGTCCTAAGTGCAGCTTTATGGTTTCACTTTCTGAAGGATGCTACCATATTTATTGCAGGTTTGTTGTTCTTAACTCGTTTAAAAACTCGATATTGGTGTGACATGTTCTTTAGAACAAATGGTAAGAGGAAATGGTTAGGTACTGCTTCATCCAAACAAAAATGGCACTTTTATATACTTAGCCTTTGCACCAAAAAAATTGGATCTTCTTCTGTTTTACTTTGTCTAATCTTCTCATTTCGTTCACAACTAAAGATGACCCCATCCACCCACTTAAAAGAAATACCCCACTTTGATTTGCAATGAACTTTAATTTTGACATCCAAAACTATAACATTTGATAATAGGATATATAGTCAGCATTTTGTGCATTTTAACTACTGTTCGCTGGTAAAATTTTCATCCCGTGCACATAATCATAAAAGAATTTTGATGAACAATATTTGTGAGAAATGAATCAGGTGTGGGCACGAGTTTTGCTATACATGCGGGGCCGAATGGAAGAATAAGAAAGCGAGCTGCACTTGTCCTATATGGGACGAACGCAATATCATACGCGATCAGTAAAATATACCTCAAGAATGACAAGGAGTGCAAATTAGGATCCTTATGCTCTTATCATTAGGGAGAGTCCTTTTGCAGTTTCAATCTCTTGCCAAGTTTTTCTTGATTGTTAGTGGTGCCCGGTTGATGTGACTTTTGGTAAATGGTTTTTTTTTTTCAATATTGTACGGGATCAGTGGTTAACTGGTTATCTTTTTGGCCTGGTCGAAACTCAAAATCTTTTCGTGTTTATATCGACTGGCATGCTTCCATACTCGGTTGAAGTTGCATACTTTCACTTTTTCTATGTTAATAAAAATCAAATTTCTCGTACCTTCCCTCATATGTTAGGTTGTGTTTTAGCTGTAATAGTTGTGGAAAATGATGTTATCCTATGGCTAATCATTTTTCAAATTTTTTTCGTTCAGTTAAGATTTGTTGAAAATGAAACAAAGAAAAAAAAATGCATGAAAAATGTTATTAACAATTAAAATTAAAAAGTAATTATTATAATTATTATTATATATTTTACTTAAAAAATATTCACCCAAGAAATATATCCTTTTCCATCGGTAAAATTTCCGTTCCCTGCGCAGAAACTACAAACCGACATTTGGTGAAAAATCTCAGGTGAATAATGATTCTTTTGGTACTTTTTGAATCACCAAAAAGAGATGATGGTTATAAAACTTCTTCAAGAAACATAACCATAACGATGGCAATGACGTTGAAAACATAAAATCTGCTAAAGTACAACAAATTCATAAATATCCATTGGAACACGAATCGAATGTATACATCATCGTCCTCATGTTAACTCTTCATCTTCATCTTCATCATACTCATCATCAAATTCATCTTCATCGTCAAAATCTTCTTCATCATCATCATCATCTAAAATGTAATCTTCATCCCAAAGTGGACAGGAGCAAGTTTGTTTCTTGTTTTCCCACGCAGCACCACAATTATAGCAAAACTCGTGACCGCACCTGAAGGCCCACCAGAATGTTTTTTTTTATATGGAGTGAAGGGAATAAGCACCATCAAACATTCAAAATTGAAATGTACTTGCGCATAAAAAACCGTAATATGTCGACCAACTATTTTTTTCCATAGCTCTTACAAAGAGATTTTCCTTTCTTTGTTTTAGTTTTAGGTACTGTAACACCACAAGTCAGCTGATGAAAAGCAGATGCAAATCAGAGTTTAAACTTGAAACACACACACGCACAGAATTATTGCGTAGTTCATACTACACAGTATAACAGATTCTACTCTTCCAAAAAACAATGTCATTCTCTTACCGAAAAATTGAAGTCTCTCTCTTTTTCCCACTGAGAAGAATGCTCAAACGAAACACTTAATATGGGTGGATGGAAAAAGGTTATGTTCCAATCAAACAGACATCAAATAAATAAATAAATTCTGTATTTTAGCCACGGTACCTGCAAGTCATGTGGTAGCACCCAGCAGAAAGTTCAATCATATGGTTGCACTTCAGACATTGGCGCCACAAATTTGTTTCAGCCAAGTTCTTTAATTTAGCCTCTTCCGGCAGGGGATAAGGATGCTTCTCTTTGTAGTCAGAACACGTCAAGTTGTAGTGCCAAGGTACTTTGCAGTCAATACAGAAATAGCCATTGCATTTTATGCACCTTCTGGCTCCGAAAGTTTCTACTCCCTTAATGGATTTCTTAGAGAACTCCAAAACCTCTCCCTTAGACATTAAAGCAGAACATTTCGGGAAAGGGCAGTAGACTTTGTCTGTGACTGGAATTGAAGCCTCCTTAATACGCTGGCTCATAATCTCAATCAACCTAGGCGTCAAGAATTTGCTGCAGCTATCAAGTTTCAGTTCAGTTTTACAGCCTTCGTGGGGACATGTGGGCAAAAGCCCATGGAGTAACTTCACTTCCACGTGCTGTTTCATGCAAGAAAAGCAATAGCGGTGCAGACAGTTGTCGACAGGGAAAATATGATCAATATTTGTGTCCTCGGTACAAATTACACATGTCTCTGTAGTTCCTGAGCAGTTGAGCTCTTGAGGCTTACTGGCCTGAGATGTTACTGCTTCTCTTGCTAGTTTGAATGCAAATTTTATGTCGTTTCTAGCTACAAGATACGGTTGGCAGTAATCAAATCTTTCTCTGAGCTGCTTGACTTGATGTATTAAAGCAGAGACTTTTCTCGATTTTGCTAACCACCTGCCAGTTACCTACAATTCATGAACATTTTAAACCTAATAACTGCATTTTTGAGCAATTATTCAAAAACATTAGTGCATTTGTGTTCCAACATGAGGTCATGAAAAATATTGAAGAGCGCTTAGTTTAATCATGGGAAACAAAGTCTCGATAGCGTTCTTGCCCAGCTGTGAAAAAAGAATTTAGACTTCATTGATCAGTTGGAAATAAAACAGAGAAAGTCTCAATGTGAAGTGAATTCGTAGAGGAGGAGGAGGAAAAACGAAGCTAAGAAAATGTGAAATATTAATCACCAGACGTCCATAACTCTATTATTCAAACTATGAAATTCTCTTTCTTGGAGATCAAAATACAGGTAAATTCATAAGTAATATATAAGTGAACAAATTCAATTACATAAAAGGGAACCTGGATTTTCTAACTAAAAAAGGGAAACAAACTCCACATTATCAGGAACAAAAAGAGTACAATAATAACGAGAATGAAGGACAATTATCCAGATCTCCCATACGATTATTAATTCTATCCTAATATATGTTGATAAGTGATTCCGCGCTTCAAAGTTTGGATTTGAAGAATTTTGCTGAATTTACTCAATGATACACTGGATGTTTTTGGAGCTTACATTTCTTGCTTGTAACCAACTCTTTGCCTAATTTTTTCTTGTCTACAAATGAGATCAAGGGCTCTTATTTATAAAAGCCAAAGTATGGTCCTTTTAGCTCTCTTATTTGGTAAGCACAAATTGGTTTGACATTAACAGACAGCTAATAGGGTATGGTTTCTTCTGATTTTCTGGAGCTTTACTTTATTGTCTTTTGGTGACCGTCCAGCTCTGTTTCGGCAGAACACTGTCGAACTGTTTGGTTCCACCATTTCTCTGCAGCATCTGTCTCATTGCTAGGTCAGGTTTTATCTCTCTTGTGACCGACCTGACAAGTCTAGGTTTCACTCTCTTCTTGGCCACATGCCGTCACTTACCTAGGCCACGTCACAACAGTTCTAACCAATATATAGACCTAATATTTCCACACAAACCCATGTTGAACTCCCATAAAACTATAGTGAAACCTTATGGGGAGCTTTATGTACAAGGAAAGAATGTCATTTGAACTTACTATGACCTTCATCTGAAGGCAAACAGATATCAATTTCCATTCTACTTTGAAATCATGTCCCTTCGAACATAATATGACCTTCCGCACTAAAAGACAAGATTACACATAATGAATTAGAAAACACAGAATGACATAATCTGCACACGTCTTATTTTCAACATTTCTGGAGTTAAGCCACGTATTCCTATATATATACTAGTGAAGTCT